TCATTAACAGAGTGCAGCCCCCACCCCACAGGGCCACACGTGTCACCCACATGCACCCAGGGCACAGCTGTGTGCATGGGGATGGGGATGGTGGGGTTTGTGTGTGGGTGGGATGCTGTTTGCACATGGATTATCTGCACGGGATACACACTATCTGCGTGGGGAAAGATGTTATCTGCACATGGAGAACACCTTATCGGCACAGGTCTGATGCCCACACCCCCTGTGCGCTGCCATCCTGCAGATACTCCATGCACAAATGCTGTTTTTATACCCGGCTGGTCACCACTGCCTCCAAGAAATGCTCCCTCTCTGTGGGGCTCAGCACAGCCAGGAGAGAATGCACTCCTGGGCCTGTGGCAGCTCTCCCCGTGCTCCTGCTGCTCCTCCCAGCACCGAGCAGCACCAGGGCTCTGCCAGGAAAGCGCCCTGGGCTCTGGGAAAGGCCGGGAGCGCTCGCACCTCGGAGCGAAACAGATGCAGACCAAGCCCTCTCCATCCCGGCAGGGCTGGCTGTTCTCTCTCCATCCCGGCAGGGCTGGCTGTTCTCCATCCCGGCAGGGCTGGCTGTTCTCCATCCCGGCAGGGCTGGCTGTTCTCTCCATCCCTCCAGCAGTCTCGGTGCTTACACAACGCAGCCCCTCAGGGCACCAAGCCCTGGGCCTGCACACAGACAAACAGCCTCGTGTGCCAGCAGCGAGCTGTGCTCACCTGCGGAACCAGCCCGGCCCTCTCCAGCCGGGAGCTGCTCCGTGCTGGGAGTCCCAGCTGAGGCAGGAGCGTGGTTTGTGTGGTTTATGCAGTGCCAGCTGACAAGCCGCTGTCACAGCTCTCACACACTGAGTGTCACACACAAAATTTGGCTCTTCATCAGCCAGGCTGTACCCCAACCACAGAATGGTTTGGGTGAGAAGGGATCCTAAAGCTCATTTAGTTCCATTCCCCTGCCATGGCAGGGACACTTCCACCATCCCAGGCTGCTCCAAGCCCTGTCCAGCCTGGCCCTGGACACTTCCAGGGATCCAGGGGCAGCCACAGCTGCTCTGGGAATTCTGTGCCAGGGCCTGCCCACCCTCACAGTTGACAAAGACGTGTCTGGTTGTCAGGCTGGACGTGCTACAGGGGAGGGCACAGTGCCCTACAGCCCTGTCACAGGTGCCACACCTTGTGCACCCACAGCCTCAGGCTGGAGTTGGAGGGACAGGAGAACTCCACTGAGCTTCCCAAGAAAAGCCTCTGGGGTGACTCCACCCAGCAGAGCTGTGAGAGGGGACCTGCAGGGAGCCCAGGGCTCAGCAGCTCCTTCTGTCACTGTCACAGAACAACCTCATCCTCACTGCCCAGTCCTGGCCAGGGGGACGCATCCACAGCATGGCCCAGCTCCAGCTCCCCTCGGGCTGAGCTGAATTAAAGAATGAGGGAGGTTGGAAGGGACACGAGGGGATCTCTGGTGCCATCCCACTCCAGAACTGGGTCACCTTTGATGTTAAATCAGGACCACACAGCCCAGGCTGTCCCAGAGGGTCACAGGGGTGTCTGGGTGGAAATGCAGGGAGATGTGGAGTGAGACCCTAAAGCAGCAAAGCCGATTTGGACCTCCCTGTCCTCACAGGAAACCAGACCCAGTCAGAGAAGTGAGGCTGTGGTGACACAGAGCGAGTGTTCCTTCCCCAGCAGGACACACCGTGGAGGGATTTGGTGACAGCCAAGGTGACGGTGCAAGGCCATGGGATCACCGCAGGCAGTGACCCCAGGTCCCCTCGGTGCAGGGTGTGAGCCACCCACAGCCCCCAGGGCTGCTCAGCCCATGCCAGGGGAGCCCTGCAGGGACAGGGATGCCTCCTGTGGGACGCAGCCTTGCAGAACACTTCAGCTGTGGAATCCCTCCAGCCCTTACAGAGCTGCTGGTCATGTCCACATCAGTTGGGCTGTGGTTTTGGACCCTTTTCCCCTTCCTGTGGGTTCTTTACTCCGGGAAACGTGGCCCAGGTGGTGTGACCCTGATGTAGCTCCTTCCTTCACAGCCAGGGAATGAGGAGTCCCTGACCCTGATCAGACTGAACTCACCCTTTGCACTTTCATTGTGGTCAAAGCCACCTCCCAACGAGGTCACAAATCCCACAGGAGGAGGCCAGAACTTCACCTGCCAGTTTAGCTCATTTGGGACCAACATTTAGGAGTGTTTGAGTTCAAAAAGATTTGCAGGACTGCACAGGAATAAACTCACTTAAAGTCATTTTTCCTTTTGAATTAAACTACGATGTAAGAGTAGGAAACACAATATTGATAATGGGTGATAAAGGAAGTGTAAAGCTGTGGATTTTCCATCCTTGGAAGTGTCCAGGGCCAGGCTGGACAGGGCTTGGAGCAATCTGGGATAGTGGAAGGTGTCCCTGCCATGGCAGGGGTGGATGAGCTTTACGGTTCCTTCCAACCCAAACCATTCCATGATTCCATGAAAGACGCTGAATATTCAGACATGGAATACCCCAAGCATTTCCCAGCCTGGGAGGATGCAGGAGGTGAGAGAGGAGCAGCAATGGAGCAGTTGGATGGAGACCCTGCACTTCACATGTGCACTGATGTTGCTCCACTGAAGTGAGACGGAGCTAAAAGATTCCAGCGGTTTCCCAGTGGAGACTCTCCCAATCCTTCAGCTGGCTGCAGAATTCATTGAAGGCCCTCACAGTACCCAAGATGGGAAAATTGGCTTGGAAGGTGTTCCTTTAAACCCCCCTCAGTGCTGGAAAACAAGGCTGTGTCCAGGCTGGTGGTTTTCCATGTGTCTCTCTCTCCAGCCGCCGCGTGAGATCCGACCTGCTCACAGATTCCTGGGAAATGTTTGTAACTCCTCGCCCTGCAAACATTTCCTCCAGTGCTGGGGTCAAGCGAAGACCTCCCTGCCTCGTGTGTCTTCAGCACATCTGCCCAGCCAACTGTTTCTGGAAACGTGATGGATTTGGTCCCAATTCTGTTTGTTTTAAGCTCATTTTGTGTTAACCCAAGATCGAGGCAGGACAGGACGTGACAAACACATCCTGCAGTGCTTCCAGCTCAGGAGGAATTAATTGCTGGAAACTTGGCAAGAAAAGTGGGGTTTGGAGTCGGGGGTTTCAGATAAGCTGGAGATAAGGGTTTGCATCGTGGAATCACCCCTGGGTGCATCCTGAGCTGCGGGCTCTCCATGGAGCTGCTCCTTCGGGAAGAGGAGCCCAGGCTGTCCCTGGACCAGGATTTCATGGAACGATGAGAACAGCGGCTCCTCCCCAGCAGCCCCTGGGTGGCCTGGAGCCATGGGTGATAAGAGAGCCTCTCATATTTCAGGTTTGTGGAACAGACACTGTTTATGTTGAGCAGCACCACCTTCCTCCCCTCAGGGCTCCTCTTCAGCCTCTCGGCGGCTGCTCAGGCCCGGCTTATCGGGGCCTCCCGGTGCCAAAGGAAACAGCTCAGCCCCCCCAGCCTTATCCGGGCAGAGCTGATTTGCAGGAGATGACAGCACCTTTCCCATCCCAGCCTGGGAGCAGCCACCTGGGGAATGCGGCTGGAGCCACCCCAAGAGGTTTCTGGGGTCTCGGCAGGAAGGGGGAGCAGAGGATGCTGCCCTGGGGAGAGCAGGGACAGCGGGAGGCTGAGGATGGAGCAACTGGAGCACTCAGCACGTTCCATATATGGAGAAACTTTGGGAACAACCTCGCAGGGACTGCAGGAAGCCTCACTGATGGAGGCATTTGGGACAAGGCTCTTCCCAACTCAAGGAACATCCCAGGGCCGGGAATCACCTGCGTGTCCCACGGGGCATTTCCCCTTCCAGCCTGGGCAGCGAGGGGAACAAAATCTCCCCAAAACCCTCCCTGCCCTGCCCAGCCGTGCCCTGCATCCCAGCCTGGCACCGCTGGGTGCTGCTAACGAGAATAAAACCGAGCAGGATCGGAACCGGAGCTCTGCTGGGGCAGAGCCGTCTCCAAAGCCAGGGATTTTGGCAGGGATTGCAGCAGGAACACAAACGTGCCCCGGGGTTCGCATCTTGACTGCAAAAAAGTCCCCAAAAATGGGCCTTGGTGTGAAATTTTACATTTTGCTGCAGAAGGTACCTGCCCCCAGCACATTTCCCTCTTGGTTGGTTCTTGCCCTCTGGAAGGTATTTGCCAAGATTATTTTATAAACTCCTTTCTATTTATAGCCCAGCTCCTTCAGCTCTAATGAGATAATCTTCTGGCATCTCACCATCACTAATATTTACTTTGATGTTTAAAATAACATCTTCTGAGAGATTGATTTTTAAATAAAAATAAATTTAAAAAAACAAAAACAACACAAAAACAACCAAAAAAACCCAAACCAAAACACCTCTAAAACATAATCAAAGCAAAGAAAGAAACGAGCAGAGCAGTGGGGCCGAGCTCCTGGGGATGCACACGGAGTCGGTGACACTGCAACTTTTTCAGGACAGACTCTTTATAATCCTCTGAGCACATCAGGAGGAAGAGAGGCATTGGCAGCTCCTGAAGATGGAGAGAGAGACAGGGAAAGAGGCAGAGGGAGCGCAGGCTGTGTTTATTCTCAGGAATTAAGGCAGCAGGGAACGTTTCATTCTGCAGCAGGGCTCGGAGCTGCTGCTCTCTGTAATTGAGAGCTTCGCCCCGGGCAGCTCAGCAGAGGAGATTTGGGATTTAGAGAGGCAAACATTCCATCCCTGGGTTAATACAATTATTAAGAGGGGCTGGGGGAGGCGAGGGAGGCAGCGCACGGGATCCCGGCTCCTGCTGCCTGCAGCCACTCTGAAACACAAGCCTGCGTTTTTATGGAAACTCTGAATGTTGGAGAAGGGTGAACATGGTTTTCATTCTCATAAATGTTTTTCCAGCGTGCAAGGCTCTCCAGGCTCATTCCTTCTCCAGGGAGACGGTTCTGATTTCAAAGAACATTCGCGTTCCCTCCACCCCAGACCACCCCACTCCAACCTCAAAGAGGAAAAATTATTTTAAAGAGCGTTTTACCTTTTTGAGTGCTTTCCCTTCTTTCTTCTTTTTTTTCCCCTTTTAATTCCTTCAGCTTCACTTTTTTTTAAAATTTTTTTTTCCCCCTCTTCTTTTTCCCAGCAGCAGCCAAAAGCTCCTCTCTCCTCCTCAGCCCTGCGCGTGTCAGAAAGTTTCCAGGCTGAGGGTTTGTGTCGCCTTCCTTAAGAACCTTCTTCTGTCAGACCCAGGCAGAGCTGGAGTTGGAGGCTTTGCTAAAAAGTCTCCTTTCAGGAAGTGAGCAGTAATAAGAGAGCAGCTCGGAGGCAGCACATGGATAGAGGCTGCTCAAGAAAAAGAAAAAAAAAAAAAAGAAAAAAAGAAATAAAAATCCCAAACCCACAAGGCTGGAAAAGTCCCACCCTGACTGCTGACATCAGTGCAGAAGGCAGGTCTTGGCTGAAACTGTATAAAACTAATCAGCCTTTCTGTGGAGGAGCAGGGAGGGAGCTTGGGGCAGCCCTGGAGGCGATGCCGGCGGCTCCCCTGTGGATAAAACATCCCAGGAAAAGCCAGAAAGGAAAGAGGCCGTGCTGACAGTGGCACACAAAGCAGATAAAGAAAGCTGGAATTGGTTTTGGTTTGTTGGGCTTTATTTTTCTCCAACAACAAACAACACCCCCATCCTTCATTTTAAACCAGATCTTTCCAAATGTTTTTAAAAACCCAGGGAGTGTGTGAGGAAATGGCCTGAAAGGCTCCCCAGCAATGGCAGGGACTGAATTGAAAAAAAGCCCTCAAGAATTGGCCAGTGTTTTCAGAAGTCCCTTCCCTCTGCAGTTACATCATTCCTGCCCCGCTGGCTCCGGTGATTCCGGCATTCTCCTGTCCTGCTGCCACCGTGGAGTGTCCCACCGAGGACAACCCACCTCCAAAGTGAAGAATAAACACTGGAAATAACCAAATGCTGCTTGTTCCCAAACATCCCCCTCGCAGGACACCTCAAGCAATCAGCAACAATAAAAGGCAGGAGCTCATTTCCTCCTTTCTTCTGAAGGCGGCTCTGGGATTTCAAAGCTGAATTTGTGAGCTTTGGTGGAGAGAGAATTACCTGGCAGTGCTGCAAACATTGGAAAAATGAGCCTTTCCGAGCTGCCCTGCTTTTCCCTGGGAAGAGAGAGGGGCCCTGGGGAAGGACACAGGGAAGGGATGGAAGCACCAGGGTGTGGATGGACCCTCAGCCCGAGCTCTCAGCGGGGACAGAACAACCCCAAAACCACCCTGGAGGTGCCTTTTCTTCCAGGAGGATTTGAATGGAGAGTTCAAAGTTGCCAGGGGGAGACATAGCATATAAAAATACATTATAAACACGAATTAAAGCAAACTACCTGAAGCTGAGACTCCAGGAGGGGATCGCAGGGGGGCTGTGGGGTGGGATTTGCATCCCTGGGCAGTTGTGTGGGTGCCAAGTGCAGGACAGCCCCGGCAGCCTCGAGTCCTGCCCTGACCCAGGCAGGCACAGCCAAAGCCACAGGACACAGCCAGAGCTGCTGGCCACGGCCCCTGGTGCCACCCAGGCTGCCCCAGCAGCCACCAGACCGTGAGATGGGCATGGGGAAAGAAAAATGCCTCAAAGGCTTGGCCAGCCCTGTGTCCTGATGGGATGCTGGCCCGAAAAAGAAAACAAACCAGGGTGAAGGAAAAAGCAAGAAGCTGTGGTACTTTTTGTGGTGGATCCCCCTAAATCCTCTGCTATCAGCAAAGCAGGATGAACCTGACCTGGAGCTGGACCAGCTGTAATTCATATTCTGCCATGGATTTGTTTAAACCCTTTTTGGAGCACTTTGAACACCCCTCAGGGAGGGGATCTCCTGACTACCCCAGCATTTTGTGCTCCCTGGAAGGTTTGCTCATCCCAATAGCCCAGGAAAAACAGGGAAAACATCCTTTGCTCCCAGGAGGAGCTGAGGGTGGGAGATCACAGCCCCCAGCTCCACTCTCTCTGTCCAAACTGGAAAGGGCTGGCTCTGCGCTGGAAAACCGAGTTCAGAAGGGGCTGGGATCGATTGCTAGGCTGCATTTTGGGCCAGTTCCCTGGCTGGGTGGACAGAGTGGTTTCCTTCCTCCCCAGGCCACGCTGGCCATTGTCTGAGCCCCCAGAGCACACCCAGAAAAGAGCAACTGAACAAAATATTTGGGCTTTAATTGAATGGTGCTGCTGCTGGCCAAGGAAAAACTAATTGCTGCAAGCATGGCCTGGTGCCATTCCAGGGGTGTTCTGTCTGCTGGGGCTTGTCTCAAACACACTCAGTGCGGAATGAACAGGGACAGAGGGACAGATTTCCTTCCCCAGGGAGTGGCTCTGCTCTGCCAGACCCTTTGGAAAATTTGTTTTTCCCTTATTTGCAAGGTTTCCAGTCCCTCCTGGGTGGTAAATACAGAGTTAGAGGCTCCTGACTTGGCTCCTGGCTCCCCCAGCCCTGTACCCCAACCCAGCACTGCTCTGAGGACCCTCAGATTTGTACCAGACCAGCTCCAAAAATGGGCTTTACTCCAGTCCTGACCAGGATGGAGCAGCACAACCCTCACAAGCCAAGACCTCAATCACCTGCACAAATCGTGGAAAACAGGGAGTGGTAAAATGACGAGACGCTCACAGCAAAGAGGTGAGAAACAGCATTAAGAATTGAAATTTTCAGTCCCCGAGGTTGCTAGAAAGTTTATTTTTCAGATTAGTTCGGTATCAGAAACCACCTGAAAATCTGCCTGACAGAATCTGCCTGACAATGCCCACATTTCACCTCCAAAGTCACCCAGCTGCTTCCTCTCCCTGGCATGAGGAGATGAGGCTGAACTTCCAGCAGGTATTTGAAACCCTCATGGCCAGGGGATGGAGAGGAGAGCACCTGGAGCAGCCTGGTGACAACGCAGCCTCCTGTGGCTGCACCGAGCGCGCCGGGACCGCCGGGAGCTGGAAACAACGGCAGGATCCCAAAACCCTCGGGATCCTGAACCCCTCAGGATCCTGAACCCCTTGGGATCCTGAACCCCTCGGGATGATGGAAACAATGGCGGGATCCAGAAACCCTCAGGATCCTGAACCCCTCAGGATCCTGAAACCCTCGGGATCCTGAACCACTTGGGATGATGGAAACAACAGCAGGATCCTGAACCCCTCGGGATGGTAGAAATCCCACCAGGATGCTGGAAACAACAGTGAGATCCTGAACCCCCTGGGATGATGAACAGAATCCCCTCAGGATGATGGAAACCCCTTGGAAATCCCATCGGGATCCTGGAAACCCTGGAAATCCTGGAAACCGCCCGTGATGCTGGAAACCCTGGTGGGAGGATGGAAACCCCACTGGGATGCTGGAAACTGCCCAGAATGCTGGGAACCCCCTGGAATGATGGCCTGAACCCCAGGGAAACACAAAGACCGAAACTTCCAGGCCCATTTGGCGCTTCCTGGTGGTGCTGGATGGTGCCCAACGTGTCCAACCCGCATGACACCAAGGCCAGGGCTCGTCTGAAGGCTTGAAAAGGCTGCAGACTGTCCTGGTTGCCATTAGGACACACAGGGAACGCTGCTGAGGCCTGACGGGGTAATTTTGTGTAAGCATTTTGTACATAAAATGAAATATTCTCCCTGCCTTGCTATGTCTGAACTGCAGGGCCTGGGCAGAGTTCCCAGCTCTGGCTCTACATCACAGCCTGGCCCCAAGTCCATGTTGGGACAAGCTCCTTGGCCACAGACTCACCCTTTTTATGGCTGTTCAGCACCCAACACAACAAAGCTCCATTCAGCCCTTCAGCTACTGCAGCAATAAACAAAGTGCTCGGCTTTGTTTGGAGCCCAGAGGCTGCAGGTTGAGAACCTGCGAGTGAAACAAGCTGGAAACAAACGGGTTTGTTTTTCCACCGGGGCACAGACATGTAAACTAATTGCCCAACAGTAAAGCTGGGCTTAATTAGTCCCAGGTGTTAAATAAAATAGGGTTGGTGTTTCCCAAAAGTGTAACTCTGGCTTGAAGGAGCCACAGGCTTTGAGAGCAGAGCCATCAAGAAGTGATTGTCGAGATCCTTGTGCCTGATCCCAGAATTTTGTGGGGATTTTGGGGCAAAGGACAAATATCCAGGTGGGTTTTGCTGAGGGGGTGGTGTTGGGATGCTGCATTTTCACCTCAGGATCTCACCTTGTCCTTGGAAAAAGCTTTGTTGTGGATTTCTGGGTAAACATCATGAGGAACTCCATGTGAAAACAGAAACAAAGGGTCCTGGGGGGAATTCAGCATTCCATGTGGCTGAGGGATGCTCAGGGATACCTCGTACTCTAACCCAACCTATTCCCAATTTTTTTTATTCCAATCAGTCCTGAACATCACTAAACTCATCCTGCTTATTCAGGGCCTTAGTCCCGATTTCTACAGTACAATTTTCTGCCAGCAAAAGAAAGAAACTTTGGGATTTCCCATCCATCTCCTTGGGACACCTCTTTGAATTCAGCAGGAATCAGTCACGGATGGGGCTTGGAGCACCCTGATCCAGAGGGAGGTGGAGCCCATGGCAGGGGGTAGGAACAAGATGGGCTTTAAAGCTCCATTCCAACCCAGAACATTCCATGATTCTGTGATGCCACAGCCTTTCTCCAAGGCTGGCCCTTGTCCCTGGACCCAACAATTCCAGGATAGGTGGAAGCGAGGTGGGGATGAAACACAGAGATTTTTCACCCTGGAAAGGGAGGCCTGGCCCTGGGGACCTGCTGGAAATCCCACAAAACAAACACCCTTTGGTGGGACTGGAGCTGGATGGTCCCCAGCCCAGCTGGCAGTGGTGGCACTGGAGATGGAAGGTCCCCCAGCCCAGATGACAACATTCTGGCCACGCTGGCACCACAAAGAGCTGATCACTGATCAGGAACAGGGAGGAGAACCAGGCCACGAGAGGCCTCTTGGGCTCCTGAGCCTGCTCTGGCCCATCACAAAGCACAACTCCCAAGCAGCCCCTCACAGAGGGCCTTTCTCAGTAGCTCCTGGCTTGGATGTGGAAAATCCAAAGAAATTTGGTTTTCCTGACTCCTCTGTGACCTCCCCGAGGCCCAGCCTGGTGTGACAATGGCTCTGACAGGAGGGGGTGGCTGGGGAGGATTGGGCTCTGAGGGAACAGGGACAGGACGCAGGAAATGACCTCAAGCTGCTCCAGGAGGAATTTGGAGGACATCAGGAGGAATTTCCCCATGGAAAGGGTGGTCAGGCCTTGGCAGGGGCTGCCCAGGGAGGTTTGGAGTGCCCATCCCTGGAGGTGTCTGGGGAAGGCCTGGATGTGGCTCTCGGTGCCCTGGGCTGGGGACAAGGTGGGGATGGGGCACAGCTTGGCCTCGATGACCTCAGAGAGCTTTTCCAGCCCAGCTGATTCTGTGTTCCTGTGGCCAGAGATTCCCTTTCCCTCCAACATCCACTCAGTGGGAACTGTTCAAGGGGAGAACTTCACTCTCCAGGCAACATCTGCTGTAAAACATTCATTTCAATAACGACAGCTCTTCACCACCTCCCTCTGATCTGTTCTCTTCCACAGCAGACCCCTACCCTGGCACAGAGAAGATCTCAGAGCTCTTTCACTCTTCAGAGCTGCACAGCTTTTGTTTGCTCCCCTTTCCTTTCCTGTGCAACAAGGAAATAGGGTCACATTTCAGAGAAACCCAGCGAGCGGTGGTTTGCGAATGCCAGAGCTCTCGTTGGATGCTGCGGCCTCTTCTTTCCCCAAATCGACACAACCCTCACTCAACAGAGATTATTTTCCCTCTTTTTTTTCCCTTTCCTGCTGCCCAGCTGCTGTAGGGATCCCCCAAAGCCGCCAGGATCCTTGGCAGAGCAGGTAAGAGACGCTTTTTGTTTGCTGGAGCTGTCTGGGTGGCGGGTGCATCATGGCTGCTTTGTTCCCTGCCTGCTGCCTTTCTGCAGCACCAGGGGCTGCAGAGGGAAGGTCCTGTGGAATGTTGGTGTTGGGATTCCGGATGAATTCCTCACGTGACCTTTGTTTTCCTACTGATGGCTCCATTGGAAAACAATGGGGTTGAGTTGGGGGCATCACGTTCTTTTTGAAGCTGAGGGGGTTTAGACAGGTCAGAAGACAATGAGATGATGGCTTGAGCTCCAACACTCCTGGCCAGCCATTCCCGTCCCTTTGCTTCTGGACATGGCATCAAAACTCTAGAAGTTTCTCTTTAAATTTCCTGCGAGCTTCAGCAGCACTGTGGGGAGGTTTAGGATCTCAGTGACACTGTGGAGAGGTTTAGGATCTCAGAGGCCATGTGGAGAGGTTTAGGATCTCAGTGACACTGTGGGGAGGTTTAGGATCTCAGTGACACTGTGGGAAGGTTTAGGATCTCAGTGACACTGTGGGAAGGTTTAGGATCTCACTGGCACTGTGGGAAGGTTTAGGACACCTTGTACCTGTTGGATATCGCTCCAAACACTCCAGAAGAACTTCAGAGATTTTCTGCTGGCCACCATAACAATAAATAGCCTGAAATCCAGAGGCAAACTCAGTTTTATTTCCTTGGATCTCTTTGGAATCTCCTCTGTTGCTGCTTGGTGAGAACAGGCACAGTTCCAAGCCCCATCAATCCAAACAGTCTGGGGTGTTAGGGAATAACCTGGGACAAAGGAAACTTGGGTTTGAACCTCAGAAAACCTTTCCCATTTATTAGACATGGAATAAACCCCAGAGGGACACAAGGGAAAGCCATCCCAGGGAAAAACTGGAGAAGGGATCAGACACTGGCACGGGATGAACACAGATCTACGTGGCTGAGCTTCCTGATTTATTTATGATTCTCCTGATTTCAATCCCTCATCCTCCTTTTCCCTCTTGGGAAGAGGGACCCAATCCTCTGAAAAGTTTGCTTATGGGACTAGGATTTCCTAAAGAAACGTGGGTGATTCCACAGCAGGATTTAGAATTCCCACATATTAATATACAACTTTCAAAGTTAACTCCCACTAAGATGTTAGGAAAGAGGCTTTTGTGGAAACTCCCAGATAACCAGGACAATCCACAGTATCTCTGTAAAGCACCCAGCTCCACGAAAAGCAGAAATCCTGGGAATGCCCAGGTTCCACCCATGATCTAAACCCACTCAACCAGGCACAGAAAAGCAGGCTGGAGCAGCAAAGGTCGTGAAGGACAAAGGTGTTGGTTAAGCTGAGCCTTTCCTCGCACAAACCCCGAGCAGGTGGGACTGGAGGCACAAAAACAGAGAGGCTGAAGGCCTCAGGTGCCACTGAAAGGATTTTTTTCACCTCTGACAGCATCTGGGGTTGTGTAAAATGGTTGGGAAGAGAAAGGAACAGGGAGCAGCTCCTGGTGGGGAAAAGCAGGAAGTTCTGGAGGGTTGGAAATACTCAAAAGTACAAATAATTGTTATCAGGTGATTGAAAGGCTCACACGTTTTGTTTAGTGCTTGATTTCCTGGGAATCTCTGTGGTCTCTTAGGAAGAATCAGGTGGTAACAGCAAATGGATGGGCTGGGAATTAAAGCCATGGAATCTCAGAATGGTTTGTGTGGGAAGGGATCCTAAATCCCATCCAGTGCCACCCCTGCCATGGCAGGGACACCTTCCACCATCCCAGGCTGCTCCAAGCCCTGTCCAGCCTGGCCTTGGGCACTTGCAGGGATCCAGGGGCAGCCCCAGCTGCTCTGGGCACCCTGTGCCAGGGCCTGCCCACCCTCCCAGCCAACAATTCCTTCCCAATATCCCATCCAGCCCTGCCCTCTGGCACTGGGAGCCATTCCCTGTGTCCTGTCCCTGCAGGCCTTGTCCCCAGTACCTCTCCAGCTCTCCTGGAGCCCCTTTAGGCCCTGCAAGGGGCTCTGAGCTCTCCCTGGAGCCTTCTCTTCTCCAGGTGAGCACCCCCAATGTTCAATGCCTGGGTAATGTAAGACAGGCTGTAAGTGCAAACACCTAAAGGATAGACATAGATACAATAAATACATTAATATTTAATATAGTGAAATAGAATAATAGAATGGAATATTTAATAGAATTAAATATAAGCTCAAAGTGTAACCCTCGCTGAGTCCTTAGTGCAGGAATGTGCATTTTTAAACACAGCTTTGATCCCTGAATGTGCTGATTTAGCCTTGTAATATCCCAGAGGTGCCAGGAAAGGCTCTGCTGTGTGTAGAATTCCAGAACATGGGACAGATCCAAGGGACCATGGGGAGCTTCCAGGAATCAAATTCCAGCCTCAGTGAGGGAGGCAGCAAGGATAAAACATGAACCAGTCTGAAATAACTCCATTTCCCCACATCCCATCCAAATCATTGGAACAAAACCCCTTTGCTGTTGTAATCAAAAATAAACAAAACACCCTGGGCAGATCTGACCCTTTATTTCTGCCTCAAAGAATCTTGGCTCAGCTTTATACTTAGAAAATAGGGATCCCAAGCTGGCTGTGAGTGGAGCATTTCCATACCCAGGGAATGTAGTAACAAATTCCCATTGTGCCTCATAAATCACTGCTCACATGCAGGGATGTCCTGACCCCTCAGAGCTGAGGATTTCTTGCAGGAACAGAGCTGGTGTCCAACCCTTTCACTTCCCAGCTGTCTTAATTTTCCTCTTCAGGAATTTCCTGTTCAGAATTTCCTCTTCAGGAATTTCCTTTTCAGAATTTCCTCTTCAGAAATTTCCTTTTCAGGAATTTCCTCTGGCCACCCTGTAATCCTGCCCAGTCAGAATTCCTGTTTAATCCCCAGAACACAGACCAATAAAGGAATGGTCTCTGTCTGCTTTGAAATAATGTTCCAGCAATGCTCAGGTGAAGTTTGAGCTCCCAGGCCCAGGGAGACCCTTGCAGAGCCTCACCCCCCACCAGGACATTTCACACACAGGATTTTGGGCCCTCAGCTGGATCCTGCAGAATTCCTTTCCTTGTTGCAGTTTAGATTTCAGCCTTACTCTCATCTTTCCTCTTTAAAAACTCCAACCAGAGCATCTGATGCTCAATAAACTTTCCTGCTCTCAAACTTTCTCCTTTCATTTTCCACTTTCTGACTTTCCAGTCAGGAGATTCCAGCTCAGGATCCATCAGTCCAGGTTTCCATGGCTCTGGCTCTTCTCCACAGAGCTGGGAAGGCGTTTCCTGGGATGTCAAACATTCCCTGAGCAATCCAGGAGCCATCCCCCTTTTCCCTGGGAGCAGCAAGTATCAAAGGGGAAATGTGCAGGCCTCAGTTCCCAACAGGAATTGAGGACATTTCCAGCAGATCCTGGGGAAGCAGGACCTCAAACTGCTCCTGACTACTGGGCTTGACCATCCCAGCATCTCCCAGCTCAAGCCAAGCTTAGCCAAGCCCTGCTTTGTTCGGTCACAGAGCTGAAACTTCTCCAGCCACTCTTTGGCTTCCAGGAGTCCCTCAGTGAGAGAATCCCTTCAGCAGGGACAGATGCAGATAAAACCCATGGGATGGGTGCTAAAGGAGGTGAAACTTTGTCATCTGAACCTTGGGAGGCACACACAGTCTTTTTATCCTTTTATTTTATTCTATTTATTCTTTTTGTTCTGGGTGAACCCGAAGTACATGGGAAAGCAATCGCTTCACCTCCTGGGTGCCCCTGAGGGGCCCAGACAACACAAAATTCCTGCAGGGAGTTCAGAACTCAAACAGATTTCGGGCTCTGGCACAAGAAATGGGGTAAAAGCTTTCAGGTAACGCCAGATTATTCTGAAAATCCCATGGGATTTTTAAACAGCACAAGAACTTCAGTTCTGAGCCTTGCTGGACACAGCACAGGAGGTGTAAGGATGATTATTCCTTCAAGGCCCACCCTAGATCCCAGATTCCCAGAGCTGGAATGTGCTTCCTGGGGGCAGAACTCGTGTGTAACTTGGAGAACTCCAGCCCATTGCTGCCCCCCTTCTCATCCTCACCCTCAGGACAGGGATCAGCAATGTCACCCCTCAGCTGCCCCAAACTACAGAACTGATGTGGCCCCGGGGCCAGAGCACCAGCAGCAGCTTTTCAAGGAGCAAAGCTCTCCTCATCCTGGGGAAAACCTGGGGTAAAGCCTTGGGAGGGACAGAGAACAGGGAAATGCTTTTGGGAGAATCTCTCCAGGTGTTCCAGTGGGAGCACTGGGCCCGGCCCCAAGGCTGCCAGAGCTCCAGGAGCGTTTGGCCAGCGCTCTCAGGGATGCTCAGGGTGGGCTTGTTGGGGGGTCTGGGCAGGGCCAGGGGCTGCACTGATCATCCCTGGGGGTCTGTCCAGTCCAGAATATTCTGGGATGCTCAGAAAATTCTCTGTTGCAAGAGTTAAATCCCAAAGCAGAACCTTGAGCCTCCCAGTTCACCCAGCTGGAGCTTTGGTAAGGGCTTGGAGTGGATGGGATGGAGGAAATGGGACACTGGATTCTGCTCAGGGCTGGGTTGGGCATCAGTGGATGAGCAAAACTGCAAAGCAGAAATTGCTGAGCAGCAAAGGCACCATCTCTGGGGTTGTTTTATCCACCAACTGCACCAGGAGTACTCCAGCACATGCAGAAAATAAGAGAAATCTCAAACCTTCTTTTATGATGATTTCACCCAAAACCAGTCACTCTCTCCCCACATTTCAGGGATGTTTATGCCTGCCAGGAATTAACTGGACAGGAAACACAGGCAGAGACAGAGCTGGAAGAGACCCCAGCCCCAGCAGCTCCCAGTGAATGACCCCAACCCTAAGCCTAGATCTCACAGAAAATCCTTCTGCCTCCAAGGTGCCCAACAGAGCCATGTTGTACCCAGGTTCTCTCTTGTTCTGGCCAAAACCCCCAGGGGCTGAGTGTTTTAAACCTTTAAAGTCTCTTACAAAGCCAACTGATCTGTCTTTC